TGCTACCAATTGTAGCACTGCGGGAGGAAGCGTGTGTAGTTGAGGGCAAAATGCACAATGAATTAACTGAAGATCTACAAAGATCTCCTTAATCCTCATCACTATGAAATCTTCTTAGTCTACTTCACTACTTCTACACTAATATGCACTTTTGTATACAATGGATGCGGGTGCGGTTGAGACATTGGGGAACTTCACTAGGCTAGCGATTCTAAGCCATACTTGCCCTTGAGACACATTCCCAGGCAAGCATTAGCTAGGGTGCATCATGAGCCAGGTACTTAGGAGCTGGGTGCGGGCAAGGTGGTGGCAAGCCGTTAACCCACCTGTCACATCGCTACAGGTGCCGGCTGGGATGGGCGTGTCGACGCGCTTGCTCTTGTCCATGCCGTACTTGATGGCCATTCGCTCGATGTACGTTCTCTGGGTGGCGTACATAGACTTGTTCTTTTCGTCGCGGCGATCTCCATCCGAGCAGCTTGCTGATGGGGCCAAGGTCATTGAGGCGTATGCACCGCTGCAGGTGTTCGAACACGTCTGTGATCTCGTCGTCATTGCTGGCACACACTAGCACGTCGTCCACGTAGACTCGACGCGTGAACACACAGCTGTAGCAAAGTCGAGGGCTTCCAAGATGGCCTTGAAGTGCTGGTACCAGCGCAGTGCGCTCTGTTTCCGGCCGTAGAGGGCGCCGAGAATGCGCCAGGCCATGCCTCTCTCTTCGAACCCATCTGGCGGCGCCATGTACAATTCGCGGTCGCTCTTGGCGTGGATGTAGGCGTTCGTGGCATCGCCTTGGCGGCACTTCATGCCGGAGGCAGTGACGATAGCTAGGACGAGTCGTAGAGAGTCGCCCCGGATGACGGGCGCATAAGTTTCATCATAATTGATGCCTTGCCTTTGCGCGAAGCCCTTGATTATCACGCGTGCATTGAAGATCTGAGTGCCATCTGGCATATCCTTTCTCTTGAACACCCATTTCGACTTCAATGTACGCGTGCCATCTAACACCTGGGAGAGTTCATAGCATTCCATGGCTTCGAGGTTGCCTATCTCCTTCTTGCAAGCTTCAAGCCAGCCGGTGGCGTCAGCTGACTGCATAGCTTCGTGGAACGTCGCGGGCACGTCCTCGTCGACGTCTGTAGCATTGAAGCACACATCGTAAGCTGCGTTAGCTGCGTCGGGCGGGTCATCCCGGTCGATGGGGTGTTGCGACGCCGCGCGTGTCCTCCGTCTGCATGGTCTTGTGCGGCGATTGTCACGCTCACCCGACTTCCGCGTTGGTTGCGCGGTTGTGACGCTTGCACGGACCTTGGCATTGCGCGACGTAGAGCGCTTGGAGTCGACGGTGGTGGCTCGTGCTTGTGCCTAGCAGTGTCCATGCCTTCCACCGCCGCTTGCTTCGTGCGGCCTAGTGACGTCGTCTTCATCTTGTTCGAGGGTCGATGCGATCGATCCCAGCGCGATTCCCGTGGTCCTTCTTCGTGTGTTGGCGCGGTCGCCGCGGCAGCTTCCGTGGCCGCTTCGGCGGCTCTGCGGCTGTTTCTCGTGTCGTGTCTCGTGACTTGTGGCGGGTAGTGGGCGAAGGGTTGCGCCATCAGGCGCGTCGGGCTAGACTTGCGGCTTGAAGGGCTCTTGCCGCGCTCCGAAGTCATGTTGCTGGCCGAGCGCTGTAGTGGTGGTTGCGTGTTGGCCAGGTCCATGTCAACGTCTTCCTTCGTGACTTGCGCCATGGTGCCGCGTTTGCCGTCGCGCTGGTCGTCGCTATCCTCGACGAACACGGTGCGCGGACGATGGAATTCCGTTTCCTTGAAGGTGCAGTCCACCGTGAACACCGTCGTCTTGTCTTCTAAGTCGAACACTTTGTAGGCTTTCTTGACTTCGCTGTAGCCAAGGAACATGCACAGGTTGGCTCGCGACGCGGTCTTGTCTTGTGTCTCTTTGCGGTGCCAGGCCACGCAACCGAACACCTTGAGAGACGTGATCTTGGGCTTGGTTCCGCGAATCAGCTCGTGTGGCGTCACACCGGCCGTCTTATTGTTCGGCGTCCGGTTACTCAGGAAGGCTGCCGTATTTACGGCTTCGGCCCACCAGTGCTTGGCCGCATTGGCGTGGAGCAGCATTGTGCGCCCCATCTCCACCAGCGCGCGGTTCATCCGCTCCGCCGTTCCGTTCTGCCAATGGCGCCTTGGGGTGCTGACTTCGTGATGGATGCCGCGTTCCTTGAGGTAGGCTTCCATCATGTAGCTGACGTACTAACCGCCGCCATCTGTGCGCAGTGTCTTCAGTTGCACGCCAGTCTGGCGCTCGAGCCAATGTACCTATTTCATGACTGCCTCGTAAGCATCGCTCTTCTGGGATAGGAACTTGACCCACACGTAGTTGGTGGCGTCTTCCGTGAAGGCGATTAAGTACATGGCGCCGTTGGGCGAGGCGGTCTTGGCTGGGCCCCATAGGTCGGTGTGGACGCAGGTGCCGAGCGAGTGTT